AATAAAAAACCAAGAATTGCTCTCTCTCGCTCTCTCCTCAAAATCTTAGAACAATGGTAATTCTCTCCAATTATGAAGAGCTCTAACCTCAACAACCACCATAGAAGAATCGAGTCTGAAACCTTATTAATCTTCAACTCTCGATCTTTTTAGTCCGCTAGGGTTTTTTCAATCTGCCATTGATGTCGTCGCCAAAGAGCATTTATGCAAATGATGTAATAGTAATTAAGAAAATTTGCCAAGAATAATACCACTTTTGCGTTGTCTTCTAATAATGGAACCACCTTTGATTTATCTAAAAATAGCACAACCTTTTACACTAATAATTTGTAAATGGAACGTGACGGCTTGTTGGCAACCTGTTTAATAGGTTACCTATGACACGCATCACAATATAATAGGTCAACTTTTTTTACAATTTTTTTTTTAAAAAAAAAACTAAAAAAAATCCTTTAAAAAACTTAATTAATAATAAAAAAAACCTTAAATAATGCCTATACCCAGACCACCCTCCCCCACCAGAAACCACCAACGTCCGACCACCGTCCCTGTTTCCGACACCCATCCCTTCCCTGCCCCCAATTTTGGCCCCACCTCCCCTCCCCGATCTCAACCACCCCTCCTTTATCCATACCAGATTTTAGCATTCCCTAGTCCCCACCTAGCAATGCTTCTACATTAATTTCAATGACTCTTCCATAACTACCTCACTCATTGTCATACCATCATCAATAACAATGGATATCTTGCTCGCGAAAACCTCCGTCAAAGAAATCATCTCTTACCCCCCTTCCGTTGTCTATAAAAAAAACTCGCATTTAATCTCATCTGCTCCCTCGATTCCTTAAAAAATGCGCTCAGACTTTTGATTCGCGCAGCCCAACTAGTTCGAGATATTAAGCGCCTGGTATTCAATTTGGGGATGAATTGGTGGATAATGTTGTGTGTGACCGCTCAAATTGGTGGTTGTTGTCGGTATGAGAATTGGTGGAGAGGTGGTTGTGGTAGTTCACAGCCTTGGTGATGGTGTAGTCTTGTGGAAGGGCAGCGATTTAGGAGGGGGAGATTGATACGGTTCTGATATTGATCGTGGTACGAGCAAGACTGTTGTGGCAGCTGCTTGCGAGTGCTGCGGTGGTCCGGCGCCACTGTTAGAGGAGATAATGACGGTAGTGACAGCAGGCTAAGCGGTTGATGGTTAGAGTTGGTGGCTAGTTTGAAACAGCAACAAGGGAGCAGGGGATTTTAATAAAAAAAATTAAGTTTATTCTAAAAAAAATAAAATCATTATTATTTAAGAAATTAAAATGCTAAAATTGAAAGAAAAATTATTAATCAACCACTATGTGACACTTGGCCAATGTAACCTATAAAATAGGTTACCAATTTTTTTGTTCCATTTAAAGAAGATTTATGTCAAAGGTTATGTTATTTTGAGATGTCCTAAAGGTGGTTCTATTTTGGAAGATGGCTGAAAGGTGGTGTTATTCTTGGCAAAATTTCCTAGTAATTAAGCATTTCACGTAGAAAAATTTAACAGGAATAATCCAACCTTTTACCCATTCTCCCAAAATAATCCAACCTTTTGATTAACCCTGAATAATCCCAACTTTGCATATTATTCTCCCACACTGCCCCTAGCAAGTCACCAACCCCCTACAACCGGTTTCCATGCCACGTGACACTTTTTTATTGGTTTTTTTTTTTTCAAAAAAAAAAAAAACTTCATAAAAAATATATTTTAAAAAAATCCTTCAATTTATGACAGCCACCTCCCCTACCTTGACTTCCTCCATTATCACCATCATCCACCAATCACAAACCTCCAGCCACCAGCACAAACCTTCAGCCACCACGTAGCACTACCACCCACACCCACCACATACCCACACCCATTTTATTTTCCTTTCCTTCTTCGCCTAGACACAACAACCACCGCGACTCCGCCGCCATAACCACTGTCTACCCAGCCGCCGACTCCACGACCACCCAGTCAACCCACTACATACCCTGCTTTGTTTCTCCTCTTCCTCCTTCCCGTATTTCTTTCTCTTTCCCCTGCTTAGCCACCGTACTACCACCACCCCAAAATCACCACCCTTGCCTCCTCTTCGAAACCCCAAACACACCACAAATCACCACCACCATAACTAATACCCCACCCATACCACCCTCACCCACCACGTACCCACACCACCCTAACCCATCACGAATCACCACCACCATCACTAAAACCCCCCACCCATACCACTTTCACCCACCACACAATCAGCCACTCTCCCGCCACCACCACGAAAAATTTGAACCATGACCCGCAAATTAAATCTTCAATTATGAAATTTTTTATCAAATTTAACCATAAAAACAATAAGAGAGATGGAGAATGAAGAAGGAAGGGGAAGAAGGAAGGAGGTAGGAAAGGGAAGAAAGAAGCAGGAAGGGGAAGAAGATTTGAGGTTTTTTTATTTATTATTTTTTTTATGTTAATTTAATATATATGTAATTATTAAAAAAAGAAAAATTACCGATTGAATAAGTTGCTCGTCAAATAGGTTCGGTATGGGAGAATAATATGCAAAGGTGAGATTATTCAGGGTTAATCAAAAGGTTGGATTATTTTGGGAGAATGAATGAAAGGTTGGATTATTCATGTTAAATAATCCTTTCACGTATCTCTCTTTCTCTAGTCTCTACTTGCAAGTCTTGACCATTGCATCTATATTGGATTAAATCTGAAGTGCCCACTTTAAAACCCTGTTCTCTAAAATTGTTAAAACAAACCAACTCATCAATAAAGTATGCTCAATCAAATGGGTTTGATTTTTCAAATTTATATTTTGTAATGAAACACTAAACTTGGCCAACATAAGTCTGCCCCGTTCTAAACATGAATCTAAAAAGTTATAAAAACCACATGAGCACTTATTCAAACAAAGTCAAAATTGAGGTTTTAATAATAAATATAAGAACCCCTAAAGTTGGGATTATTTTAATCTAAAGTTAGGTTTATAAAAAGAAAATCAACCAATCTCTTTACTAAGAAAATAAAGAAACAAAGGATGCACTCCCTTCGTTCCTAGATAATTGACACAATCAAACATGGCGCATTTGTTCCGTAATAAATATAATAATCCAAAGTTGGGATTATTGAAAGGAAATCAACCAATTTTTTTGTAAGAAAATACAAAAAACAAAAGATACATGCACTCCATCCGTTCCTGAATAATTGACACAGTCAAACTTGACACACATGTCAATACACTAGTTTGACCTTAGATATATATGATTAAATATTCGTAAAAAAGTTATGAAAATTGATATTATGAAATTTTATATTAATACATACTTACTCCAATTGATATTATAAAATTTTATATTAATACCTACTTCTAATTTAGATGGCTCGTTTCTTTAATCACATTTGTCAATGCATGAATTCAACCGTATAAATCAATTAAAATGAAAAAAAATTGATATTTTGAAAATACATATAAAGAGGATTCCAACAAAATTTCATATAATTATGTTTTTTTTTCTTCTTATTTATAAATCCCAAAAGTTAGTCAAAGTAGAGTTTTTGAATCGTATTAAAATCTAATCTGGAACGGAGAAAATATTTAACAAAATAGTTCATTATAAAATTTGTTTTTATACATTTTTAAAAAGTATTGGTCAAAGTTAGTATTTGAGTACGTACCAAGCAAGCTTGGCGGAGTTGGTGGGGAAACCATTTTGTGACTTTGAGGTCACAAGTTCGAGCCCCACCAACTACATTTGCTTAGGAGTAGCCGAGCACGGGAGGACTTATTCATGTGCACAGTGGTGCACGTGACTCACCAGTAAAAAAATAAATAAATAAAATTGATATTCATTTTTTTTAACTAAATAAAGAGACCGGTTATTAAAATAACATGTCTCTTTGATGCTATCAAGACCTTTAATGATGTCAATATTATTGTTTTTTTAAAAAAAAAATACCTTTGCATTTTCATGATATTTAATAAGTTTTTTTTTTCTTACAAAGATATTTTATAATTTTAGAGAGCGGTTATATTTAATTACCAGTCTCTTAATTTATCTTAATTTTTTAATTAATAATTTTGCTTATATTTATATCCTATATGTGTGCAACTAATTTTAATATTTTCCCCCAAAACTTATCAATAAGGAAAAAAATCATAAAGTTAATGTAATAATTTTATATTACTATTTGTTTGTAACATGTTATTTGTAATACGACTTGTAAGATTGAACTTTTAAGTACTATTTGGTTGTAATATAGATTTTTGTGTCCTATTTTTGGATTGAAATCAATTTGGCGAAATATATTTTATTTATACATAGTATAAATTTTGAATTGAAATTTATTATGAACAAGATCTGGAAAAAGAATTTGTACTTTTCACAAGTGATCAATAATTGTTGGTGACTCATCACCTCGGAAATCCTGGATCCGCCACTGAAACCGAATAGAGGATTTACACCTTTCGATCCTTGCTCCTCTACTCTCAAATGTCGACCATAAATTAGGCCAATTCTATAGGGTCTTTCATCTTACCTTAAAAAATATTTACTTTCGCTGTTTCACATTGTTTGCGGAATGTACTCCCTCTGTTTTTAAATACCTGCTTCATTTTTCCATACGCGGAGTTTTAGGAGAAATTGAAGAAAATAATAAAATACTTCCTACGTCCCATAATACTTGACACAGTTCTCATTTTCGTCCGTCCCACAATACTTGACACGTTACTAATTATGGAATGAGTTTACTAATCCTCACCTACCCCACTCCCATCCTACTTGTTGTTTTCTTATAATATAAAAATACAAAAGAGTATCTTTTATACAATAAACAAATATTTTAAATAGACCCATATGTGGTTTTCTTACACTACACAACCTAACATCCCAAGTATTATGGGACGGAGGGAATATGAAGGTAGTTGGGTAAGTGGAAAAATAAAAAATTGTAAAAAACAATAAGAGAATTGGAGGAGAGAGAATGTGAAATTAATAAAATATGATTTATGTTGGGTCGACTAATTAGGATAATGCATTTAATATTGTTAAAGTTTTCCAAATAAGGAAAGAAAGATTTAAAAACGACTGAAATTAAAAGTGGAGCATGTATTTAAAAATAAAGGGAGTGGTAGTACTCCGCTCAGTATATATATTTTTTTTTATAACAACACTCTAAACAGACTGAAAGTTTGTTAGCTGGGGAGTGGGGGCTCCAAGTCCAAGCCAAGTTTCCAACAACAACAAAAAAAAAAAAAAAAAAAAAAAAAAAAAACAAAAACAAGGACCCAACAACCGTTTTTAACAGCCCTGAATGAAGCTGCCTCCCAAAGAGAGAGAAACCAACACTTTTGCTCCCTTCTTTCACCGGTCAATTGCCAAAGTTCTAAACTTTGGGGTTTCAATTTTTGTGGGTATCTTTTTCAAATTTGTAAAACCCTCAAAAATTTAAGTTTTTTGGGGTTTTGAATTCTGATCGACTGAAAACAAAGAGGGAAAAAATAAAATCAAAATTAACCGATGGGTTCTATAGAAACAGTTGATAATCTGGGTTACTCGTTGTTGAAAGATCTAAGCTTTGAAATTGGTGAAAATGAGACTTGTTTTAATCTCTGTTTCTGGGTTTTTCTTCACAGTTCTACTCCTTTTCCTTCCACAATTCTTTACCAGGTGAAATTCTGTAACTTTTGTAGCCTATTCTTGTTATTTTTGGGGCATTTTGGTTTATATTTTGCTCTTGATTGAAATGATAGTGTACGATATTTATGATTAACCTTTATATGTATATGCATAATCCTCATTTTAGGTGTTATTGGACAATTTAGTTTACTCTTTAATAGTTTAATTTTGTGGGTATTTCTAACTTTATTGTTGTGATTAAATAAATGAATGCGAATCAGTTTAGTTGGTTAAAGTCGAGGTGGTATCCAAGACCCGGGGCTGATCTCGGCTACATTAGTGCATTTTTGGGCTCTCTTCACAACTTAATGTCATCAAAGTAGTTGTTTGTGTTTTGGATTATAATAATGATGAATAGTTTGATGGACACAACTCCACATTGTTGATTATAATCACTAGAGGAATTTTAAAGACAACTTTGTGATGCCTTGATTGTGATTTTTGGCTTGTTGATTTCTGTTATGTGTTGTCCAATATAATTATTTTGACCGTGTCTTGTCTTTATTAGTTATCTTGAGTTCTTGACTACTTGAGAGCTTTATTTATTTGCTGCTTGCTTTATTGAGAAAATCATTATGTTTGCATAGGCTTAGTTTATACATAGTACAATTTCCATTCTACATTAGGGAGGGTTATGCTTATGCATGCAAACATCGGGATGAAAGGTTGACACCTTGGCTGAGATATGCCATGGAGGCGGTGAAACTTTTTGGTGATACATGCATGTGTACATTCGAATCTGTACTTATTTTGATCGCTTTGCATTTGTTCATGAGCATGCCTTATTTTTACTTTCTATTATCCTTGATGTCATTTTGCACTATCAAAATTGCTGGTCCTCTGTGTCAATTTTTTTCTTTTCTTTTTCTTTTTTTGCCTTCTTTGCAGAGCTCTTCCCTTTGGAAAAAAAAATTATTCGTTTATTCTTTAACGTGTTTTTATTACAGTAATGCACACATAATAGTTGCATAGGTAGTTTAAAATGACAAGCGATAATGTGTTGAACTGTGATAGATAATGTGAAAATATTAAATTGAATTTGGATTTATAAATGCGACATAGTTTTGAGAGTTCAATTACTAATATTTTGTAATATTTTCTACACCAATAAGAAGAGGTTCTATATTGTACGACCCTAATGAGGATAGTTTGAAACTGAAAATTTGACGGTTGAGATAGTTCATTAAGTCGTTCATAAGTTTTTACGTACTGTTATATTCACTTTTTTTTAATGAACTACTCAGTAATCTATTTTGAGTTATTTTTTAGTGCTTTTGTTGTATGAACCTGCTCATTCTTACTAGTTGAAACTGATTTATAATTAATACAGCTGATTTATCTGTGTTTTTTCTCTATGCAATTACTTATTTTAACTTATCAAAACTAATTTGGGCTGTAAAAACTGATTCTTATCGAGTAAATCAAGTATTAAACTGAGTAGAACAAGAGTTAGTTTTATGAGTTCATGCTTCCTGAGAAAGAAGGATATCATTCTCTAAGTACAAAAGGTTTCTCCACAACTAGGTTAGAACTTTAAAGTGCTGGTTATTCCAATGTTAAAGATTTCACGGTGCTTCTGTTCATGTCTTGTCTTCAATGGAGTTGCAGTAGACGATAACACTGACTGAAGCAATTTGCTTTTTATGTGCAGTCGCACTCTGAAATTCCTTTTCTTTCTTTGAGTGAAGACAAAAGGTTAATACTCTCGCCTTCACTTTTGTTGCGAAAAGAATATTCCGAGTCAGGGGAAACTGCATCATCCACTGAAGTTGCTATTTCTAACGTGGAGCTTCCTCTAGGACAATGGGTACATATTGGATGCCAGGTATGTGACAAATCATAAATTACCTACTAGTAAACTGCTAATGTGTAAACCAAGTTTTTTTTTTTCAGTTTAATGCTGTTGCCTATACTATTTCTTCATATCTCCTGATCTTGTTGTTAGACTATAAAGAGCTGCTTGAGCTCTCCTGTGTAAAATGTTTTGATAATGTCAGGCAATTGCTGCAGGTAAGGGGAGAAGTTACTTAAATTTAGCTTCGACTTTTTGTTTGATGCAGATTTCTCTCTGGTTGAGATTTATACATATGATGTCTAGCTTTTAGAAGATCTAAATTCTTGAGACAATTTAATATTCCTTGCCTATATTCTGGTGATTTGGCAGTTTGTTTGGCCGTTTGGTTTATGTACATAGTTTGATAGTTTGGTTAATAGATCGGGTTTCCTTTTATTACTCATTCGTATCCAATAGTCACATTGATTTTGATTTGTTTTATGTCTTCTTTGTGTTTGTCCACTTAATATGATATGTGTTCCAGCTAATATTCTTGTCTTCTTTGTCTCCAATCTTAGGTGTATAGCAGCATTATACGCATTTATCTTCAAGGAAAGGTAGTGGGTGAAAGGCCTTTAGATTCATTAATGGCCAGGCAGGCTGATCTTCAGAGTTTCAAGAAGGTGACTCTATCTGGTGTGCGCAAAGGATTTAAGGATCTTGATGGCTATGTATACAATGCAGTTGTTTTGCCTTCTACAAATTCTATTGAGGACCATCATGCTAAGGTTTGTATCTTTAATTTTGCATTTATTATGGGTCCAAGACCTATGTAAAACTTATTTATCAAGTTTACATGCTGCAGGATCCTCCTTTGTGTCTATGTATTGATAGTTCATCTGTTTCTGATGTCGAATTGGAAGGTGACGGCATATGGAAAATATTTGGCGGCAAGGTTATTTAACATCCTTCTCGATTTCCTCTTTTGGTTATTGTACTCATTTGAGTTTATTCTCTATGACTCTGCGTTATTTTTTATTTTTGCTTTTGACGGGGATTGGGAAGTTGTGGTAAGATGGGGTTCTTTCGTTACTTGTTAGTCCCCTATTCCTTGCACATGAAAACAAAGATAATGTTCTTTGCAATGTTGTAAAACCTACATAAGGTTGTAAGTGGTGATGTTTGTGTGCACTAAATTACTTATGTAATGAAAAGAGTTTGTTTTTAATAGAACGTGATCATTCTAATGTATGCAAGTGTAGAGTGCACACGCTTGGACTTGCAATTGCAAATTCAAATAGTAAAATGTAAAATGAAATTGAGGACGCTTATAATAAATAGAATCATTTACGGGGACAAAAAAAAAAGAAAATCATGTTGCTATATTAGTGTGTGTAAAGTAGACAAATAAGTAAAAGAGTATATAGCTCCAGTAAACCAAGAAAGGTCTTTTTTTCCCTCTCCTCTTACATGGAGTAATTTTCATTGATAATATCTTCTATATAAGCCATATTTTTGATCCAAAGAAGCAAGCTTGTTTCTTATTTTTGTGCAGGATAGCTTCATCACTTGACATCTTGGCAGTTAGCAATAACTAATAACTAAAAAGAGGCTTGACATGATGAGATTATTTGCATGCAGTACTTTGTCATCCTGTCCTTAATCGATGAAACTGTCTGTCTGTTGTTCTGGATCTTCTAGATTTCACCATCGTAAAGTCCTATAGAGTGTAACACAATGTTACCTTGCTTGTGGCTTGGCTTCTTGTATTATCAACTAGTTTACATGTTCCAAGTCACAGTTTTTTCTTGACCTGGGTTATGTTGGGGGCACAATTTTGTCAGGGAAACCCAGCACCATATTGCTCATGTCCTTCCGTCCTTTGTCTATACTACCTTGATAAATCTTTGTATTAGAAACACCAAAATATATGGATAGTAGGAACGATCAGTTGGGAAATGCTATGTCTACATACTAATGCATTAATTGAAGTATAGTACTCAGATTTCGTATATTAAATATAAGCATATAACCGAATCTAGCAGCAGGTTTTACAATTTTAAATGACATTTTTTTTTTTGGGGGGGGGGGGGGTGGGGAGGACGGACACGCGTTATAATTTATACAAAGGATTAGTGTTTTGTAGTCTATTTTAAGATGACTAGAAATAATAGACATTCATTTAATCATTTATCAGCAAGCACACACGCATTCATGCATGTTGTACTTATACTTGTATGTAAATATACATATGTATGCACACATGTTTGCTTAGTTTTACAAAGCGTGCCTAGGCGCGCTTGAAGTGCTACGCGAAGCGAAGCGCCAGCAAAACGTGCCGGGGGGTCCAAGAAGCATGAAATTCAGTGCTTTTGCTGCGCATTTTTTCAAAGCACCAAGCACCAAAAGCGACGCTTTTTGATCCCAGCATGTTTGTTTATATGCATGTATGTCTATACTATCTCATACATGTACATGTACATGATTATTTGTCTGTGTAGGACCCAGCCTCCTAATTGGTCTGAGGTAGCATTCTGTGGCTCTGTGCTCCCTTACCTTATCATATGTCAAATCGTGTACCATGGTGGCATTGATTTAAGGTTCCTATGTCAGAGAGAGTGTGGTATGAGGACAGGGACAAGGAGAAAGAGAGTGGAAACGAGATGACTCTTAAATTGAATGATTTAGTGATCACATCGCTTTTTATTTTGTTTCCAAAATTTTATCCAACTTTTAATATCTATCATGTGTTATGACAGGGTTCTTGTCGCAAAATGTTTTCATCAAATGTCGTACTATTAGATGCCTTTGGTGAGCTTGTGGACAAGGATTTGGAGGTGCGTGGCTCTCTGCGTTTTTGATATAATGTATTTAGTTAACAGTTTAACACCTTACATAGGAATAGAAAAAATCTTTGTGCGTGGTTCTCTGCATTTTTTATATAATGTATTTAGTTAACAACTTACATAGAAACAAAAGAAAATCTTTGCTAGTCTATTTACATCAATGTGTATATGCAAATAAGAGGCCCACATAATATATGACTCCGATATTTTCTTTCTTCTATGTTATATTAGCCCCTTTTCAATGTACAATTAGAAAAGCTCCATTTTGCATATTGTGACTTGGCATTTACATATTATAATCTTTTCAGGTTGTTGCATCGCTTATCTATGCTGATAATCGGGCCCCTATTGAGAAATCAAAAGATGGTGAAGCTCCCCTTTTGACAACTTGCAATGGACTTGAATTTCCATCTGATGATAAACCCAGCAAACTATTGCGGGGACGTGCATCTTTTCAACTGAACCTAACTCGAGTATGATATTCTGAAATATACTATCTTGCCATTTGAATATGTTGTGCATTTAAGAGTGAACTTTTGAGGTTACCAAAGTTATTTTTTTAGATTTATAACAGGGGAGTTGCTTTTTATTTAGGCTTATGTCTATATCCTTGTTAGGTTCTAATAAGTGCTTTAGAAGGTAGTATCACACAAAATTGAGTTTTGTGCATAATCTTTCAGACTGTTGCACTGATTTTATGTTTTTCTAAAAATCTGAGAAAGATTAGACAATGAAGTTTTGATAGTTGAGGTTATCATTTTCCTTGGAATAGACTTGCTACACACTTCTGCCAAAGCCATTCCTCAGTAAATTAATGCTCCATATGAGCAAGATATTAAACAAGGGAAATTATCATTGGTACACCCCAAGTTTGGGCTTTTATCAATGATATACCTCCTTAAGTTATAATTATTAGTGGTACACCTATACTTTCAACTAATTAACTACAATAAGCAATTAAGCATTCGGTTAATTGAACGTTAGTAATAGGTTAATGACTTGCAATTTTAACCAATTTTAACTCCCTTTTTAATATTCCTCCTATATTTAAAGTAACCCACCCACCTTTGTCATTATATACATGAAGCCCCCTCATTTGCTCTTATTTATGCAGCTCCTTCTTTATTTGGTACTTAAATTTGCCAAATGAAGAAGAAGCTTCATAAATCAGAGCAAATGAGGGGGCTTCGTTTATAATGACAAAGGTGGGTGAGTTACTTTAACTATAGGAGGAAAACTAAGGAGGGGAAAAAATGGAGGGAGTTGAAATTGGTCAAGATTGCAAGTCATTAACCTATTACTAACGTTTAATTAACAAATTGCTTACATAAGTTAATTAGATGAAAGTACAGGTGTACCGTTGATAATTAAAACTTTAAAAGGTGTATCATTGATAAAAGCCCAAACATGGGGTGTATCAGTGATAATTTCCCTTGAATGTATCCAGTGGTAATTGCACAATGTGTAGACATCTATTATTATTATTATTTTGTTTAATCTATACATTCCACAATGAACATCTTTTGTCGGTTTTATGTTGAGTATTCTTAATTTTTTATATTTTTTATAATCATTTCTAGGACTGAATCCGATCTTGATTTTTCTGAAGTTCAATTGATTCATTTGACTGTCCTTATCTTCTCTGCAGCTGTCATCCGAATGTGATAATAAACTGTTCTGTGTTAAGTTTCATCTCCTGAAATTGGGAAAATTTCCTTTTTTCGAGGCATTTACTCCACCTATTCGCAGCATCCTAAAGTCGTGCGACACCAAGGTATCTACTATCACATGGAAAAAGTTATCATCAGGCTTTCATCTATTTAATAGATCCAGCTTACCTCAAAATGGTATTGGGCATTCAGAGCTACATCAGAAGCCTGTATGTGAAGCAATACCCAATCCTCCATTAAAGAGAAAGAAATCAGGACAAGATACTCCATTACCACACACTAAGGCTGAGTCTACGGTGCAAAGATTTGATGAAGAAGGCAACTCATTCAACGTGTCTGCAACTAAGGTCCTTGGATTTTCCTTGCAATATTTATTATTTTTCTGAGTTCAGACAATCTTAAAGCATATTTATCAGCATAACGTAATATGTCTCCTGGACAATCATGATAGCTTGATCATCCCTTTCATTATCAATACTGTTGAATTTATGAGATACAAATCATACAATTCCTCTCGATATGCTTATTCATGGTATCTATAATCTCATTTATAATGCCTCATATTAAGGTCCATTATGTGTTATTCATACTGGTGTTTGTTACCAACACGTATCCACAAAGCTAGAGTTCTTTATACTACTAACGGTGACTCCTTTCACCCTTAATAAAAACCCTGATTCTCACAAAAATTAATTCTTAATGAAAAACCCTTCTTCTAAGTAATTCCTAAATTACTTCCTTTATAAATCATAGACCCTTAATAAGACCCTTCTTAATAAATTTTCATAGGGAAGAAGGGTCTATTCTCACAAAAATTAATTCTTAATAAATCAAAAGTAATTCTTAATGAAAAGTAATTCCTTATCAAAAGCCCTATTTCTCATATGGGTGGGGTCTTCCATCCACTAACTTCTTCTTTATTTTCCAATACAATGTGCAGAATGTAGTAGGGACCAGTTTGGAGAGTATCCAAGAAAACTATGGAGAAATAGATAGCTCTGCATCAGATTCAGATAGCGCTGGCGCAGGAAATACAGAATCAAAGAGCTTTACTTGCAACATAGACCTCACTTCAGATTTGACAATTTTCAGATATTGCCTTGGAGGATTATCTGAAAGGTCAATCATGCTTAAGGAGTCCTCGTTATATGCTTCTGAGCAAGAAATAGTAGAAATGGCTGAAAAGGTCTCATTCTTTTCTGGATGTGATCACCATAGGTAATAATTAGATTAGTTGTTTGATGGATGAAAAAGCTATCTTTGTAATCAGCCATTGGTACTTAAAGTTGTTTCCATTTCCCCTTAGGCACCAAATTATGATTGCCAAAAAACTGCTGGAGGAAGGAGAAAGAGCTTGGAATTTGATTTCACAAAATAGTCATCGAGTTCAATGGGACAATGTTGTTTTTGAGATAGAAGAACAGTTCATGAGGATTTCTAGCTGCAGCACAAGATCTCTCACTCAACAGGTAATTCCTATTTTTGACATGTTTGAGTTCTTTGCTACACTAAGTTTTGTCACCTAGCTATAGCCTCCAAATATGTACAAGGACATATGATAAACTATAAATATACAAAAATTTTGCATTTGTTATGTTACCAAGAGAAAATCTGCTCATGCATCTTAGGCCTTGTTTAGTTGGCTAAATATTTTGTGGGAAGTCAAAATCCCCATGAATTTCATTTTCACCCTCTTGTTTGGTTGACACAAAAAAGTGAAAATGGGGGCAATGAAAATTCATGTGAATTTTGACTTCCCACAAAACATGGGAATTCACTTACCCCCCCCTGGTAAGTTGAAATTCCCATGGGAATTTACTTCCTCCATTCTTAACCAAACAAATTTGTTGAATTCCCATGATTTTGATGATAGAATTTATTTCCCACAAATTGAAATTTCATGGGAATTTACACTTCCCTAATGAACCAAACGACCCCTTAATATTATCAAAAAGATATCTGAAGATTCTGAACACCCTGTGGATGATGTCTTCTTTGGCATGAACTTTTTTTTTTTAACTGTTGTGTGCTAACATGAACTTCGTTTCTTGCTGAGGAGACATATAGATTTTAAGCAGAAATTTTCTATAGTATGTTCCTTAAACTTTCTTGCTCCAACTAGATACACTTATATAGCTACTCACAAACTTATCAAACTGAAGCCATTAGTCCCCAGAATGCTGCTCCAGATTATGTACAATGTGTAAGTTACAAAAACTATTCGTTGCTAACTGTCTGCTCCTTCCTAAATGAAAGCAGAATGACCGTCTCTACGAAAACATTTTTATGCTTGTAAAGATAAGTTATAGTTTGTTTTGAGTGTTTTGTTGTATGTTTTATGATTTTTTTTTTTTACCATATTTTTTGGCTTCTAGCCATAAGCAACAATTGGTTCATATAACAGTAGATCACTTATTAGCATAAATTGGCACGGCAGGACTTGAATTTTCTGAGGAGAATTTCGGGAGGCAGTGAGTATCTCACCAAAGATGACTTTGATAAATTGTGGCGTTGGTTGTATCCAGTGGCATTTACAATATCAAGACATGGGATCAATGCACTGTGGGCTTCTATCTCACCAAAGTGGATTGAAGGATTTGTTACAAAGGAAGAAGTGGAGTATGCCCTTCAGAGTCCGCAGGGACTTCAAGAGCCTGGAACATTCATCTTGAGATTTCCAACAACCAGAAGTTGGCCTCATCCAGATGCAGGTAGTTTAGTTGCATCCTATGTTGGCAGAGATTTCTCTTTGCACCATAGGCAGCTATCTTTGGACTACAGGTATTTCTGGTAATTTACTATCATCTACCTTCGTCATCCTCTTTTCTCTATATCTGAACAATGCTGTTTGCTTACATACTCCTTTATTCAATAAAATTAACAAAAAACAAAAACATAATTAAAATCAAAACTAAAAATTAAAATAAATAAACTGTCCTGTGCATCAATCAAGAAGTTAAATGTCATATGCTTGTGTGTGCGACTAGCAAGACGATGACTCTCCTATTATTTTCACCATGAGATAATTCCTTTTTTTTTAAAAATGGAAAATCATGACTATCTCCACTTGTTGAACAGATGGCCATTTTGAATCAGTCCATTTCGATTAGTATGCTATATTCCACTAGTCTACAAATAATTGTCAAGAGTAATATATATGAAGATGGCCTTTCTCCTAAAACTGTCTGGGATATTGCTAATTATAAGACTTCTTGGATTGATATCATCTTCTTTCTTTCTCTCTTTTTTTTTTACTTTAATATATTTGAAGATGACCTGGACTTCCAATTTTTATAGTTTTTTATTTTATTTTATTTTGCAACAGTTCTGATATTTTTGACACAAATCAAAAGCCACTTCAGGAGTTGCTTTTGTCTGAACCGGAGCTATCTCGAGTAGGAAGGTATATGATCTTTCCCCTGACATTTATGTATATTCATATTCTCTGAGGCTAGATTTTATTTATTATGATGATGACCTGTATGGGCATGTGTGATCCAGGATAACGAGGAGTGATTTGAGCGTTTAAATTGTCACTATACTTGTGTAAATATTTCCCAGCTTTACAGACACATTTCATTTGGAGTAAGCCTCTTGTTCCTACTTTTAGTTTCTGCATTAAACTTCTTATGTGCACTTATGAGTTTTTGTAATGAAGTATTGTTTCTTAAGTGTTATTATTGATTATTTCTAGTAGAAAAAACTAACATACACCCCTTTTGGCTTTATGCTGATTGTGATTCAGCAATATAAAATTTGAGGTTTTATTTGCGTGGCACTCCTCCATCAATCCATCCCATAATAAACTTCACACTAACTTTTAAAATATAAGTCGATGATTTGAATACTAATTTTCCCTTTTCTCTCCCTTGTCCGTCGTATCTTGTTCTCTCTGCATCCCAACAATACCTTATACTCTCTATTCCCTTTCTATCCACTAACAATGTATTGTTTCTTATGTAACAACTATATAAATGGGATGAAGGGTTTTTTGAGTTAAGCATCAGCTGTAGAGAACTACATAAAATAATGGGGACTTCTGTACATTAGAATGATTAGACCACATTACTTGATGTTCTTTCGAATGTCCCACCTCAGGTGTAATTATTCTAAATCTATTGTCCTTAAAATGATCATATCATGATATAGTGTCTGTAGTGTCTCAACTTTCTTCTGTCTTTTCAGGTCAATTAGTTTCAATGGAGCACATTGCAATGTAATTTGAGAGATTCTTCTCTTCTCCCCTCCCTTCACAAGCAAAACACAGTATTCTAAAGTAAAAAACACAAAAAGGAAACCATAAATCAGCAATGACACTATTGGCCTAAAGCTTGTGTCAGGATGGAAGTGGTCACAATTTTGTTATAGAATTGTGGTCTGGCAGTTGGGGGCCTGTAAATAAGTTGGATCTTAGTCAATAGACCCTGTTGTTTGAATATTTTTGTCTAAAGAATTGTTTCGTAAATATTTGATGGACACCCTCTCTTCTTTGGTGGGTTTTGGCTTGCTGCCATTCGCCACAGCTCAACCTCTGTAGTTAGTGCTTGCAGCAATGACAACTGTGTGAGGTTCCCTAAAGCCGGGTTTTACACGCTTAAGAAAGAAACCGTGGTGATGATAGATGGACTTGGCTCTTTTTAATTGGAACATGAGAATAGACAGAATTAGGAGCAAAATCCTCTACTTTTCCCATCACCTTGCTTTGTATGTTGACTATGCTCATTTATCTCACATCTGCCATTATTCATTTTTATCCATTATGTGAAATCTTCGAACTTTCTTAGTTTCTAAAATGTCAAATATATTAAGTACATGCGTTGTTGCACACATAACAACCTGCCTTTCTCTGGGAAATTATTCCTTTTTATGTGTATTCTTTGCACTAAGGCCTTCGATAGGGATTTCATTTTATTTGTTGTTTTTCCCCTTCTACATGGTCACGAGTAGTTCTTGTTTTCTTGGGCGGATTAGAGGGTTTTGATATACTGTGATGCGCTTCAGTTTTCTAATTAGTTTGTTTTGAATCTGTCCAAGTTCATTACTTTAGTTTTCTAACATCAGTTAATTATGTCGCAGATATGAGTTCTTAGTACAGGAATATAGGACGAATTCCATTACCCATCCAGATTTATTGTCCTTAACTATTAAAGCAATACGAGCAGATGTTACAGTGCACTTCTTTCAAGAGGGTTTCTCCAATTTCTTTGTTTCTAGGTTAAATTTAATTGCAGTTTCTTGACATTGGTACAAAGCAAAGGGCAGATGATAAAAGAAATGCACATCTGCGAAGCTAGAGCTCCAGACGAACCTGTGATTTCAGTACATAGTGTTTTTTTTTCAGCTCAAAGTAATCTAGTTTTGCCTTGGTGAATATGTTAGTAGAATATTTTTCAGAAATTATCCGGCATTCAGAATGTTGTATTAAAACTAAAGGAGCATAACATCTTTTAGCATTTTTTTTTTTCAGTACGATTTGATTCAACCTAAATTCAACAAAAAATCCTATGTTCCATATTTTCACAATCAGCCAACACACTCTAATTCAGAGCTTTACAGCAATTTCACAAATTTATGGGTAAATAAACATTATTTTTCTATGCCTTCCAAAAAGAAAAAAATCATTGTTTTTCTATAAAACATGCTTCTCAATAGTCTTATATCTACAAAGATGTACTCGATATGAATCCAACAACCCGAGGATATACAAATTAGACTTAAACAAGCTCAAGTGTACAAGCCACTTTCTCAGTTCTGAATCAGCTCAATGCCTCATTCGGAGGTGTTCTTCGGTTTAAGCTTCAGTGCAGCACTGCATGATGAAAACATTGAGCACAGAATTAATTAAAACTCATCCAAACGGACTGATGTCACTGAAAGACCAAGCAAAACTAGGCATCTAATAAAGCTTTACAGTCAGAAATCAAAGATAACTTCACCTATCCTAAATAAAATAAACCTAACCCAAAATTTAACACAATGCCGGAAAATAATTGGTTTATTAAAAGATTCCATGACCTGAAACTCATAATGAATTGAGCAACCTGACCATCTTGTTAGCCAGGCTCAGCCAGAAAGAAACAGGCTTAAACATAGATAAACCATACCTGTTGATGCAATAACGTTTTCCTGTTGGAGGGGGACCATCATCAAACACATGTCCAAGGTGAGCATCACAAGCTGCACATAGTACTTCCTCTCGGGGCATGAAGATGATTGACAAATCCATCTTTTTCTTAACATTGTTTCCTACAGGTGCGTAATAGGATGGCCAACCAGTCCCGCTGTCAAATTTGGTAGATGATCTACACACAACAATTATACATTATAAATTAATGAGTGATATGATCAATCAGCAGCCAATTATATCTACAGAAACCTCATAGAGAATTAGACAGCAAGCACTTACTCGAACAAAGGGGTGTCACAGCACACACAATGATAAGTTCCAGGTGTTTTTGTGCGCCAGTATTCCCTGATTTAAATGAGAAAGTTAAATTTGGTAATTTTAAGTGTCAGCTGAAAACAGTAGTCTTATCTTCAAATGAACCTTACCCTGAAAAAGCGCGTTCAGTGCCCTTTTGACGACATATATAGAACTGCTCTGGGGTTAGGCGCTTTTTCCAGTCTTCTTCAGTTAAAGAAGAATAGTCTTTTTGGCCTGTCTCTGGAAAAGAAACCCAACAAATGCAATTACTTATCAGAAACCCATGATGTAATATTTAAGCTGTGTTTAGACGAGAAAATTGAAAGTGGAGGGCTGGGGAGGGAGGCTAAGGGATCCATCTTCCGTGATTTGTATATTAAATGGGATCAGGAAAGCAAGGAAAATGGCAAAATCCATATACTTTGGCATTCTAATAAACCAAAATCCTTCAAATGTTAAAAAAATTTGGAAGGAAAGGTCAGGCCACTCCTCCCCTCCCTCCCCTTTGCCTTTTCGACTTCCCTCTCTCACTCCCATCCCTTTACTATGTAAATGCTAACAAAAAACATGATACACGACTAATACATCAAAGGCAGCAGTAGAGAATAGAAAGGCATGTTAAGCATAAAAGTAACTGCATATTCCATATGCCACCATACCATGGTAGCTATAAAAGCAGTATGACTGTAATCGGCAGAAATAGTTTAATGAATTTTGAATAACCAAGTTCAGGTTCTTATTGATATCTCTTGAAATCATGCTGCCAAGCAACATTTTGAGAAAACTCCAAAATTACTCCTAATTTAGATAATTATATAAGATTCTTATTAAAGTAAATGGCGCTATTGCCGCTATATATAGCTGCTCCAAGTTCCTTTCAGTCTCAACACCTAGTAATAACCATGATGGTTAAAACTATCTAGATTATTGGAAATAATGGTTTATGCACTTTGATGGCAGTCTAAAACCATTTCTATATAAAAGTCCCTTCAAAAACATTTACTTGTACTCGTATGAAGCATCTTTTTCGAGCTTAAAAGCATCATTCGTCATTGTCTATATTTCAAAGTATTCACTAGTTTAGCTTTGTACTATAGCTACCTATTTTTATGTTCCAAAAATACAGAAACAATAGAAGAAGTACTTTATATCTAAAAGCGCAACAAAAAGAGTATATAGCATGTAACTCTCATAGAGGTCATGTGTTCTGTATCTTCACTGTAGTGTTACAAAATTACCAACTGATTAACGGATTGTACAGCAATCTTAATAAGTTAATAACACAGCAATATATCATGATCACAAAATCAATCATTCCCAAATTATTTTACAGCAATCTCGAGAATATAACAATACAATAAAATAGGGAAAATCCTAACTAAAATATATATACATCAAAAAATAACAAAAATCAAATCTTCAACTCAATATATATCAATAACTATGCTAATCCTAATTCAAAATTTTCAGTAGTGTCTTTCTAACTTATAATCTTCTCAAACAAATACAATAACACAAAAGAATATTATGTTAAAAATTACAGGACAAAATAAATGTGGAAAGAATCAAACCTTGAAAACTGTCTGGTTTTGGAGAAGAAGCAGAAGAACCCATTGCACGAATTGCTAATGTTTTTCCAGAAAATTTGTTTATTAAATTGGAAGTTAATAAAATGGTTGATTTTGGAAGAAGTCTTAATTGGGGTTTCGAAGATACTAGCGTATTCAAGCTTAAACTACTTAAACTATGAGAAGCCATTGCTAGTTTGCCACCCTCTTAAGAACAAACTAGTCAATTAATAAATTTAATTTTCTTGTTTTTTTTAAAGAAAAGGAAAATGTAAGGGTGAAATATACGAATGGAATTGATTTAATACTGGTTATAACATTGCCACGTCTCTCTAAGTTGCTCATTATTTATGTGATTTCTTGTATATAGATGTGAAAATTCGGTTATTTGGATAGCGTTAGATGAGGTCGGGTTGAGCCGTTGAGAAAGTTGGGTCTATTTCAAATTTAAATCATGTAAAATTATTGTTGATACAAAGTTAAAATTTAAATCGGGTTTTATTCGGGTCAAATTTGACTAGGGATGGAAATGTGTTGGATCTAGATTGAGTCCGAGAAGATTCGGGCTCAAACCCAAATTTTTTGGAGTGGATCCAAATCTAATGAGTGTAAACTATTTAGACTCGAAGTTTAGCGGGTCTAGGGTCTAAAATGGATTCTAAATGGATCTTATCATGTTTTTTTTCTTAATTTTTTAGTGACTTATTTATATATTTCCTCCGTTAACTATTATTTGCAACAAAGGAGTGAGCACAGATCCCAAAGCAAAATTTCTAAAGGGTGATTAATTAGTTAGAGGATAGTAATTGGATAATTAAACAAACCAATCTAAGGCACCGTCACCTCAAGGACCCACCAAACCATCCGCACCACCTTCACCATCACCCACTAACCCAGCCCAAAAACCACACAAGAAACTACCAACAAACCCACCCTACCCCCACGAAACCATCCTAACGAAAACAAACTAAGCACCCATGAACCCATCACAACAAAAACCCATGAAACCCAAACCAACAAAAACCCACAAACCACCCACGAAACCCATCCCAACGAAAACCCACGAATGACCCATGAAACCCACCCAACGAACCCACGAAACCCTTGGATTCCCACCCCAATGAAAAACCCACACAAACCACCCACGAAACCAACCCCAACGAAAACCCACAAGTGCTTATCTCCATATATGGGATCGAAACAATAAAAGGGAGGCCTTCTTCTTTGATTCATGAGAATGGGGTTGGAGGGAGAGAGAGAAAGATAATGGGAAAAGAGAAGATGAAGAAATTGAAGAAATTTGATGATGAAGGAGAAGAGAGAATTAATGATAATGCAAAATATGAAGATTTTTTTTTTTTTTTTTGACGAAAAGAAATAATTTCATCAATGAATAGCCATACAGCATTTGAAATATTAATAATAGACTTGTAAACCACAAATTTAGAGAAATTAACATAATTTTTATAATCAAAATCATAACTAATTTGCATATTTAGCATAGCTCACACCCCACCGCTTCAAGCTTAACATGAGTAGTGATTTTCGATGTCTTTGCATCTTTCCAAGTAGAGACCTTCGCATTCCACGCTGATGTTTCGATCATAGAGTTGATGACAAACCCTAAATCCTTATTAATCTAAATCACTTTCCCAATTATTACCAAAACCCTAAATATAAAATTCTCATTGAAAGCGTCTTTTGAAGCGCGCACGTTAAGCATGTTATGAATATGTTTGGCACTCATAGGAAGCGAGATTTGACATATACGATCAGTGACAACGATTAGGGACAAGGAAAGTAGGGAGCCGCTAGGCCAACAAGTTTTTAAGGAACATGTAAACCGTTCACAGATCATTTAAGGCGACCACGATTAAGGGACAACAAAAGGCAACAACGATTGACCCGTGAAGATTACACCCCATTCATAATCCATGAGATTACTAACTCCATATGTTTCGGAACCATGAAAGGAGGATCGGGGATGATGGTACGAAGTGAGTCATGGAGTCACATTCGCCCGTATTTATTGGCCTCTACTCGATTCTTATTATGAAAAGTATTTCCTGCGATATCAAAGGCATGAAACAAAGATTTAATTTTCTCCAAACTAACATTAGGCTAAATTTATTGAATATTAACGCAACATATAATTCTAAAATATTGTGATCACTTGATTAAACAACAAGATTAAAAAGGAACCTAAATCAGTAAATCGGACGTCCAAATTATCTTATTAGTCGTGATTTTCAATTACATATTCCCTTTAAACATGCAATATGGTGATCATAAATAATAATAGAATAAACATCAATATTGGAAGCAATTTAACCATATATCGTTAGTCTAATCAAATCATAATAATAGCCCTAATCATGATATAAGCCCTAATAATAATAACAGTAATTAAGTGGATTAATTACTCACGTTCCGCGCTTCTTTAAATTGCTACATCATGAATAAATTGTTAGTAACTTCAATAAAAAATATAAATCAAATTGAAATTAAATTAAATAAAAGTAGAGTAGATTTGGTCCAAACCTTTTATGCCTTGATTTAAGTATAAAACTTTGGGTGTTATATGGACTCCTTGGAGTGCTTAGGGATGGAATAGTGTAGTTGTGATAATAGGTTTAAGACTTAGAATATGAGAGAGAGAATAGAGAATGATTTGGTGCATGAGAGAGGAAGAGAGAATGATTTTTGGTATAAGGAGAAATAGAATGATTTTTGGTACAAGGAGAAAGAGAATGATATTTGGTGCCCCGAAACTGAGAAAATCAAGTTCGTATTTATAGAGAAAAAAGAGTAGGGTGAAGCACGGAACCCTAGAAGTGAAAAGGAGCCGCAAAAAAACCCTAATTAAATGCCGCGTCACGGGTGGCTTGTGTGTCGTGACACGGTGCTAAATATTGTGGTGCGGTATTTTCCTGTTTCCACGCGTTTTTAAAACTATGATAACTTTTGATCCGTAACTCGGAATAAGGCAGATAATATATCGTTGAAAAGCTTATCAAGTCTACTTTTCAACCGGGCCGAGTTTTAGTGAAAGGGTGTCGTTGTTAGTGAAAGGGTGTTGATTTTGGGCCGAGTTTAGTGTTTTGCGCATATCTTCTTCGTTTTAAATTGGACTCGGTCTTATGATATGCCGTTGGAAAGCTTATTTCAAGGCCTATCCAACCAAATAATATTTGGATCAAAATTATAGGGCCACAAAATCAGTTTAGCTCGATTTTGTGATGTGGACACGAAAAGTGGAAAGTAAGTTATGGTTTGGGCAAATGGGCTAAGAATTAGGTTGGTTTATGAAGTGTATGTATTGGATTGAACATGGATTTAAGCACTCCAAATATTAAATACTCAACCCGACCAAAAATGGCGGTGAAAGGTTATTCATCATCGGGTTTGGTTTTGGGGAGACATTTTTTGGTGTCTACATTCATCCATAGATGAGAATCAAAATCCCAGAATATTGGGAAAAACCCAAAAAACAATTGGGACAAACTCTCACAAATGGAAATAACAAAGTAGAGCAAAACAAAACAAAGAGCAAATCAAGTAAAAAAAACTTAATTAAATTAAAAAAAAAAGGTCGGATATAGTCTAATTCCGAACATTTCCGGCCTAAACGGCCAAGGAAACTAAAACCTAGAGGAGTGATGAGGGAGGAGAGAGAAGAGAGAAAGGAGGCGAATTAGAAAATACTCTTGAAAGATGAAGAAGATGAATGTGGAGAAATTTGATGATTTTTTAAAGATTAGATTTTAATTAATTATGTTTATGTATGTAATTGAGGTTATAAAGATTTTAGTTTTGGTATTTTAATCAATTTGCACATAATTTTTTAAAGATTAAACACTACAAGAAAATAGACAAATAGCGACGGAATCGTTCCAACGGACATAAAATTCCGTCGCAAAAGTCGAAATTTACGACGGATTTTTATTCCGACGAATTCTAAAAGTTCGTCGGAAATTTCCGAAGGAATTAAAATCCATCGTAAATTTCGACTTTTGCGACGGAATTTTCCGTCGTAAAGTACTATTTCCGACGGATTTTAATTCCGTCGGAAATTTTCGAAGGAAATTCCGTCGGAAATTAATTTTTAAAAAAAAAACCCTTAAAAAACCCCTAAACCTAAAATAAGACGGTTCAATCTCTTTCCTCCTATCCTTTTCTCCTCCTTCTCCCTCCTTCCTCCTTCTCCCTGATGCGTCGCTCTCCTCTTCTTCTCTCTCCTTCCTCTTCTCTGCTTCCTATCTCCTCTTATTCTCTCTCTGCTTCCTCTCCTTCTCATTTTCCTTTCTCCTCTTCTTCTCTCTCCTTTCTGTTCTCTTTTTCTCCATTGTCGGCCTCTCCTCTTCTCTTACTTTCTTTTGTTCTTAGTAGGTGGTGTTCATGATGCCGACGAGTTTGGTTTGGTGGTGTTCAAGACGCCGGTGAGTTTGGTTGGTGGTGTTCAAGTCGATTTCTCGCCATTTTTTAGAAATAAATGGTTTTTCATGTCAAATTCGACCCTGAAAACTTTAGATCTAGAGTTTTCAGGTTCGAATTTGACCTTTAAAACCCAAATTCGAGCCAATTTTGGGGTTTTTTGGGTGAAATTCAAGGTATGTACCTTTTTTCTTACTTATTTTTGTTTTTTGAGATTTTTTTTTAATTTTGTAGTGAATTGTGGTTGAATTGCTGTGGTTGTGGTGGACTTATCGGTGGCGGTGGTGTAGATCTAGGTCAGGGTTTGGGTTAGGGTTTGGGTGTTTTTAAGTGCTTGGATCTGGGTATGGGTTTGGTGGGGTTTTGGTTAGTGATGATTTTTGGTGGTGGCGGTGGTGATTTTAGGTGGGTGGTGGAGTGGTAAATATGGTTAGGTGGCTGTGGCGGTGGTGGTTGTAGGTGGGTAGTGGGGTGGTGGATTTGGTGTAGGTGGCTGGTGGGTAGGGTTCTGGTGTGGGTGGTGCAACGGGCTAGTGTGATGGTGATACAGTTGGTGGGGTTGGGTGTGGGTTAGGTGACTTGGTGAGTGGTTGGCTGGTTGTGTGAGGTGGGGGTAGGTGGTGTAGGGTGACGGCTTGCGGTGGTACAGCGTGGCGGTGGCTTTTTTTTTTTTTGTTTTTTTTAAAGCATTTTCTGACGGAAATTCCGTCGAGAATTTACGACGGGATTCAATTCCGTCGAGAATTCACGACGGAATTCAATTCTGTCGGAATTTTCCGAGGGACTTTGCCGGGCATGAAAATACTCTCGGCGGACTGAAATCCGTCGGAAAAC